TTAACTTAACCAACGGATTAAAACCTCAAGTCAGTGGCATCAAAATTGTCACTTTATCACTGTTTACAGGCGATTCATTTTCCAAGTTGAGTGGCTCATAGCCAGTTTGATTATCCTTTGTGTGTGCTAAATTGAATTTTCAAAATTGAGTCTGAATGTAACGTCCTTGACGGTGGAATTGCCCTGGGATGAAAAGCTGATCAACAATTTACATGACATGTTTGGCTCGGGAAAAAAAAAAGTTGAGACACCATTAAGGTGATGCCTCGTCATGATGAGATTTTCCACGTCATTTCCCGAGTTCAGAAAATGGTGAATGAAGTTGCTCGTAAATACGAACTTTGCCAAATCACTTTGTTAAACCTGCAAAAAATGATAGCTTGACGAAATTGTTTGCTGGCCTGACTACAAAATCAAAGCAAGATGGAGAGCTCAATTTATGTTACTTCAATACTTGTGTTCTTCATTCCTTTTCAGTTTACCTGGAGTCAGAAACTTATCTCACTTAGTGTAAGATTAACACTTTGGTACACAATATTTCTTCAATTCCTTTGCAACAGTTATTGCTTAATAATAAACTTTTCTGGTTATACCAATTATTCAGGTTTCACTTGTACTTTAAAACTTTTGAACAAACATTCTAAATTTTAATTCTGAATGTACTTCCTTTCCAGTCTTCTTTCGTGTTTTACCACTTGAAAAATGAAACAAGCTGAAATGTAATGAAATGATAATTAGAACATGCAATTGTTTCAGCTTAACTTGGAGTGCCTCGCCCCATTTTTTCCAAAGTATTTATTGTGCTATGCATGTAGTAAACAAACGTTTATGCAGTGTATAAGTTGTTTAGACATCCAAAAATTAATTTAGGTGGCAATGATCTTTCAAAAGGACTTTCATCATGGATTTCCAAATTTTGCTGAAAATGCCAAAAAATCTCCACATTGATTTAAAAAAGACCAAGAATTATAAAGATGCAATACAAAGCAATGAATACTTTATAGTGATATTAAAGTTTTAAGAAAAGAAGGGAAAAGCCTATCGGTGAAAGGCATAAACTGTGTATTCAATGATTCAAAAGTACTAACAGAAAGTTGTGGCTCAAATATTGAGTCATCTGAAAGTGAAAGAATGTAAAGAAAGTTAGTGAGTAGTTAGAATGGTCAGAATGTTTACTGATTCCTCCAACAACTATGGCAATCACTGTAAGCGCTAAAAATGTTCTTCCAAAGTCAAGAGTAAAATTAATAGGTTTTAAATTTTTTCCATGGAAAAAATATTGTGCTTATATCGCAACCAATTTCTGGTGTTGTTTTCCCTTACCAATTTTTGTGTAAATGTTGATTTGAACGAAAAGGCATTTGTGTTATTGATTTTGTCAGCCAGTTCAAGTGGTAACTGTGTATTAATTGTTCTTGCTAGTGTTCTGAGTTTTCTAGTTCTTAAATAGTGCTACTATACTTATTGGGAACCATGTGTCAACCAGGTACAATTGAACATGTTTAGTATATATAACTCAGTTATTTGTTTGTTTGCAATAAAGCCTTCATAGCAAAAAGTGCCACCAAAACAGAAAATTATAAAAACTTGTTTGTATAGAAACATCAAGTCACGCAATGATAAACACACCAAAGCATTCCTTATGTTTTTAACAAGAAGTCAAGAGGTTTAGTCATAAATGCATTCACGACAGTCAGCATAATGGAGACACCGTGCCCCTCCCCTCAAGCGTTATTGGGTTGAGCAAAAGGAGCAAAAGTTTCTCTTCAGATGTTTTGTTCGTAGAAATTGAATAATTTTACCTTGCTGAAGTGACAAAATATGTGATAAAATGAGGATATTTTGCAGTGTTTCCTTTTTTATGTAATAAACGACGGACGAAGGCTAAAACTACGAAGGCACTTTATTAAAACTAGAAACGAAACGGATAATCGTGACCTTTTCTACTCCTGGGCTACCGCGCCTAGCTTGGTAACCATCACTTGGCACTAGGTACCAGTCCTACATTTAACAAGGCACTTGAAAGAGCATTGACTTTGTATTCTCTTTCCGAGATGCACTGGCTATAAGATAAGAAAGCATTGTTGAAATCACAATACTTTTGCTTGTCAATGAATACTAGTTTTTAATGGAGAAATGCTTGATCTGATCACTCGTTCAGATCGGGGAAGAATGTGTTGTTAACTATTAGCCAGCAAACAGGATCATGTCAACATGCCAGCAACAATGAATAGACACAGTAGGGATGGAGTATTTAATGGTTTTGAGTTGCCTTTTAGGTTCTAAAAAAGTTTCCAACAAGGCATGTCACAAAACCAGTCAATCTGTCTAATGGTTTCATGCTTGTTATTTCCTGGCTGTTTTAAAATGTCTTCAGTTTTGATCGCTCTTGGGTATTATGTGAGGGTTATAACCGTTAGTAAAAAACACCTATTATGCTTCACAATGAATTACAGTTTTGTGCTTATTATTAGTAGAATTATACTGGTATACTAAGGTAAATGATGAATTGTGGTTGGTGAGGTATTATAGACCATCAGCTATTATTGTTCATTATTGCCTGCAAAATTGCGACGCTTTCTCCTTTCTCTGAAGTTTTTAGTCTGCTCTATTGCATTAAAGTGAAGTTTAGTTTTACTTTAAAAAAATGTAGAAAAGTTATTGGAAATCATTATTTGAAGGAAAGTTAATAAGAATTCTACTGAAATATAGAGTACAGTATATTCGCTCTCAATTTTATGAAGCAATTGCTGATTTGGCTTAACTGTACCATCAGTCTAATTTTACCTTGTTTTTCTTTCCTTATCAAGAAAACCTGAACATATATATAACAAATAAAATCTATATTTAACAAATAAAGAAGCCTGAGCCGTGTATTATACTGTAATAAAACACGATGGGCATTTGAGAACACGAGGGAAATGTAGAAAACGCGAGCCGCAGGCGAGTGTTTTCTACATTTTTCAAGTGTTCTCAAATGTCCGGAGTTTTTCATCACAGTGTAATAC